CAACAACAACCTTGCTTTCCAGGGTTGCTATGAATTGGAGTCAGTTTGATGGCAATGAGTTAGATTTGGGGTTTTATATGAAATATCTAGACTAGGCAAATGCAAAGAGAACAAAGTTTATTTGGGATTACCTGGTTTTTTTTTGTAGGGGGAGGGAGGAGTTGGGAGATAATGCTTAAGGGGTACTGAGTTTCTATTTAGGGTATGAAAAACTTTTGGAAATGGATAGTGGTGATGGTTGTACAACATGGTAAGGGTAATTAATTTCACTGAATTGTACACTTACACATAATAAAAATGGCAAAAAAATTATAGGTTTTACCATCATAAAATTACTTTTAAAAAATCACTCTTGCAGGAAGATAACAATGAGCACTCACATGCCACACGCAGTTCTAAAGGCTCTTGGTATGTAGTTATTGTTAGGTGCCATTGAGTCGGTTCCAACTTATAGTGACCCTGTATAGAGTTTCTTAGGAGCCACTGTTGAGGTTGAACCGCGAACTGTGTGGTCTAGCGCATCCACCCACAGCTCATTTAATTCCTCAGTGGCCCTCTGAGTTAGATAGCGCCAGCAGCATCCCCATCCTTGACATCGTGTTTAATAAATGTGGAAGCCGAGTGTCTTAGTTATCTGGTGCAGCTGTGACATAAATACTGCAAGTGGGTGCGTTTAAAGACCAGACCGTTCAGGAAGCTAGAAGTCCAAAGTCAGGATTCCAGCTCTCACCGTATAGCTCGAGGGAACCATCGTTGTCATCGCTTCTGGAGCTCTGTCTGACTTTTCCTGTTTCCTTGGAGAGCTCCTGGTGGCATGTCTCTTTGTTGGTGTACCTACTTGACTTTCTGTCTGTGCTGCTCCTCACAAGTGCAGAGGGATTAGATATAGGACACAACATACACTGGTGAACATAACAAGAAACCCTGTTCCCAAAACCACATCCACAGGGATAAGGATTAGGATTCCAACACATATTTTGGGGGAGTCCTGGTGTGGCGCTGTAAGATAAGCACTGGACTGCTAACCACAAGCTTGGTGCATCAAAACCACCAGCCGCTTCTCAGAACCCTATGCAGGTTTCTCTGAGTTGGAATCGACTTAGTCAGTACTTAGCAGCAAACACAACAATCCAATCCATAACACTGCCTAAGGTGCCCCATTCGAGCTGGAGTCAGAATCTGGACTGTTTAACTCTAGAGGCTTATTATTTCATAACCATGCACTTCAGCCCCTTGGACCTCCAGCAGGTAGTATTTGCAAGACGAGTTTGAGGGACTGGAAGAAGTGTCAGGAAAGCTTGCAGGCCGGACCCTGTAGAAACATAGAGCTGGAGAGAGCTCTATTCCAACCTCCACTCCCTGCCCCTCTTGTTAGTTTTCCAGCCAATACGGAGCAGGGAGGAAGTTCGTCTTCAAATACCACACTTTGTCAGTGTGATGATCTTAGCGTAATGTAGTCTCTAGCTGGGACTTTAGCATGGAATGAATATAATGGAAAACTGTGTAGCAGGAAAACTCATCAACTTGAGATGCCAACTGCATGCATCAATAGCTGAGTTCCAGGAACATAATGAATGGTGAATGGGAGAAAAAAAGCGTGATGACATTTTGAGAAAGTTAAAATCAAGCCAAAGTCAGATAGTATTTAGAAAACCATACGTGTGTGATAAAATGCTAGAAAGAAGAGCAAAGGAGTGAGGAAAAACAGAGAATTCAGGGCTACTGGTGACCTCTGGGAAGAAGGTAGATTTGGACCTGTGAGGACAGGAAATGGGGAAAAGGAAGAACATAGACAAGACATAAACAATTTCTCAAGTTGGGGCAGGTATGCATGTGTTTGTTTTGTTACTGTGCAAGTTCAAGTTATTTGTGACATTCATTTTGCATTGCATTTGCTGTATACATGTGCTAGGTAAATAAAAAATTATATTTGTATTGTTGTTGTTAAGTGCCGTTGAGTCGGTTCCGACCCATAGCGACCCTGTACAGGGTTTCCGAGGGTGTAAATCCTTACGGGAGTAGAAAGCCTATATTCTACAAAAATGTAAAAAGAAAAGTTGAGTGTATAAGTGCTTTTTACACACGGAGTAGACACCTTGATTAGCATTATTTAATATTTTTGTGGAGAGTATTCTTGTGTTGAGTGTTAGATTAGTATTTATTGTGAAAATTTAGGGCAAAGGTGAGCTTTGTAAAAGTTTGTTGTTGTTGTTAAGTGCCGTTGAGTCGGTTCCGACCCATAGCGACCCTGTACAGGGTTTCCAAGGCTGT